TGCCTCTTTGATTTTGGTTTTCCACCTCTAGGTCACCTCTTGGTTGTGAGGCAGTTTTTGGACGACTTTTGAGGCGCCTCAAAAGTCGTCTCTTGGTTGTGAGGCAGTTTTTGGACGTCGACGCTTTTCTTTTCCACTTCTCAGAGAATGTCTAACTGCTTCTCGTCGCTTCTTCCTTCATGTTGCGAATGCCCTTCCACTTTAGAAAATGCTTTGTTCCTTCTCACCGTTTCTCCTTTTGTTCTCTTGCCTCCCCATTCGCCCCTTTTGCAGATTTCGGGTGGAATGAAGGCATGGGTCCCAACATGGGCGGGGATTTTTCCATGGGGCCTGGCTTTGGGGGCGGGGGAGGCATGGGGGGAGGCATGGGGGGAGGGATGGGCGGAGGGATGGGGGGAGAAATGGGAGGGCCTGGCATGGGCATGGGAGGTCCGGGGATTGGGGGAGGAAGCATGGGTATGGGACCTATGGGGCCCGGAATGGGAGGAGGGATGGGAGGAGGAATGGGCATGAATCAAGGCATGGGGCCAGGCATGGGGCAAGGCATGGGGCCAGGATTTGAAGGAGGCGGAGGGGGAGGGGGAAGGCACCAGCAATTTGGTCCTGATGGGTGAGTGGGTGTGTGTGTCTTATAGTGTGTCCTATAGAATGTCTTATAGAATGTCTTATAGAATGTCTTATAGAATGTCTTATAGAATGTCTTATAGAATGGATGATGTGCACCACAACCCCTCCCCTTCTGTGTTGAAGTCATTTCTGAGAATTCTCAAAATGACTCCAACAGTCCTGATGGGTTAGTGAGTGTGTCTTAAAGAATGCATCATGTGTCCCCTCGCCCCCAATCCCCACCCCACCCCACCCCACCCCACCCCACCCCACCCCACCCCACCCCACCCCACCCCACCCTACCCCCCCCACCCCCTCCATAGCTCTCATAATTCCTCTAAACTGGGCCATGTTTTTGTGGCTTTCGTGGCTTTTTTAGCCCTTGGCTGGTGGCGCTAGTGCCTTGCCGTTGTTTGCGGCTCTTCTTTCCTCTTCCCTTCTTCAAGACTCCTTTCCAACTTCGACCAACTGAATTCCACCTCCCTTTCCCCCCCCTCTATTTCTCCCTGTGTATGGATACAGTGGCCCGGGGCATTTTGGGCGCGGAGGTGGGGGCAGGGGGAGAGGCGGGGGGAGATTTGGGGGGAGGGGGGGAAGAGGCAGGGGCGTTGGGGGGCGAATTGGGTTTCCGGACAAGGGGGGAAGAGGGGAGAGATGGGAGAAGGGGGAGCGGGGGGAGCGAGGGGAGAGAGGGGAGAGGGAGGAGAGGGGAGAGTGGAGGGGAAGGGGTGAAATGGGTGAGAGGAGGCAGTGGGGGAGAGAGGGGGGAAGGGACGAGGGGGAGGAAGAGGAGTGGGGTAGTGAGTGTAGGGAAGAGGGGAGGGGGGAGGGGAGGGGAGAGCGAGCAGGCAGTGTGAGGCGAAGCACCCCTTCAATGCAGCAGGACTCAGGAGGGCAGAGCAGGGAGCGAGGTGGGGAGAGGAGCAGGGGAAGCAAGGAGAGGAGCAGAGAGAGAGGCAGGAAGAGGAGGGAGGAGGGGGGTAGGGAAAGGGGAGAGGAGGATTGGGGCAGGGAGAGGGGAGTGGAGAGGGGAGAGGAGGACAGGCGGTATGGCTCTCCTGATAGGGAGGAGGAGCATGTGGAGGGGGAAGGAGCAGGAAGGATGAGACGGAAGCGACCCATTGGCGAGAGGTGAGGAGTGGTGGCGAGAGGTGAGGAGTGGTGATGAAAGGTGGGATGTGAAGGGAAGAGGTGAAGGGAAGAGGGGTCAGAGGGGAGGTGTGAACCTAAGGGATGAGAGGGGCGATGTGAGAGGGGCGAGGGGAGAGGGGTGAGGGGAGAGGGGTGAGGGGAGAGGGGGGATTGGGAGTGGTAAGGCCACAAGCAAGAGGGTTCTTTTTTGTTAGATCGTTTCTTCTTTGTCCCTCTTTCCTGTTCCTGTTCTGCCAGCCACAATCCCTTCATCCCTCCCACGCTCTTGTCCCCACCCCCGTCCCCATCCGCGTCTGCATCTGCTTCGTTGCCTGCAGGCTCAACTTTTCTGCTGCCAGGGACGACGAGGGGAGAGGACCAGGAGGGTGGGGGGGAGGGGGAATGCACGGGAGGGGTGGGAGATACAGAGGGGAAAAGGATTCTCCAGGGAGGTGGGATGGGCATGGGGATGGGGATGATCGGGATGGGGATTGGGGGAGTGGAGAGGAGGGGAGTGCAGCAGGGAGGGTGCGCAAAGGGAGGTTTCGATACAGAGGGGAGAGTGAGGGAGAGGAGGAGGTGGAAGGAAGGGGCAGGGTTGGGCCTGATAAAGAGTATGGTTATAATGAGGATGAGGATGAGGGTGGGAGGAGGAGACGACACAGGTTCAAGGAAAGGGAAGAAGCAGACGGGGGTGGGAGGCGAGGAGGAGGTGGAGGAAGAGGTTTGCAGAAGGGGGCTAGGGAAGAAGAGTGGGATGATGGTAATGATGGTGATAACGTGGACGATGGTGGGGGCTTGGGGGAGACGGCAGGAGTACGGGGGAAGGAGAGGAAGAGACGGGGTCGAAGCAAGGGGATGGGAGAGAGGGAGTGGGAGGAGGGTGTGGATGGTGGTGGCACTGGTGATACCTTACCTGCTAGAGCCGACGATGGGAATGTGGAGAAGAGAAGGAAGATGAAGAGAATGCGGAAATATGGCGATGGTGGGAGTGATGAGGGGAGAGGAGGGATGGGTGCAGGTGAAGGGGATGATGTGGGGGAGGGTGAGGGAAGAGGTCTTAGGATTTACGCGGGGGGATTTAATGATGATGCTGGGTATGGGGATGACAATAAAGGGGATGAGAATGATCGCTGGCCATTAGAACATGGAATGTGAGTTGGTGTTACAGACCATTATTTTAATTTCAATGCAGTGTCTCTGGTCTTTTGTTCTAAAGACTGGATTGGTGTAGGTTTACAGTTCTTGGAAGTTCCTGTTACGGTACTGTATGATTGGATGATTTTAGTGAAATACGGTAGTGATGTACGGTAGTGTTTCAGTGATCTTGAGACCTCAGGATGATTTATGAAAATCTTAACTTATCTATTCACGTAATTTCATGTGCATGGCGACCATATTCAGACACAATGGGCTTCATTATTTTGCTTGAGCTGTAACAGGTGATACCGTATATCAATCTTAAGATGTAATATATGCTAAAGAAACACCCATTGAACAGAGGCATCTGCACAAAACAGTACTTACCTAACTAAGAGTTCCTTCTCAAATGCTTGACAAGTGTCTACATATCATCAAAGTTCCAGCCATCATCATCATCCTCCCCTCCACCGCTCTTTCCCTTGGCAACCACTAGCTTACTCGTCGTCTGCTTCTTCTTAACTGCAGCTGCTCCCGTTTTACCAGCACCCCCACCACCTGCTTTCCCTCTCGCTCCTGCCGCTCCTTTCTTGCTTCCAGCCGTGCTGCTTCCCCGAAACCAAGTGACGACCCTAGCTCCCCCCATCCAATGTCGTCCTCCTCTTTCTCCTCCTCCTCCTCATCCACCCATCCTGTCCGCACAGGTTTCTTGCTGGTCGCACTGCTGCTGGTAGTGCTGGTAACACCACCGCTGCTGATGCTGGTAACCGCACTAGTAACACCGTTGCCGGAACCAATCACAGAAGCGGCAGCAGCAGGAAGAGCCGCAGCAACAGGAGCAGCGGCAGGAACAGAAGCAAGAGCAGCGGCAGCAGTGGGAGAAACAGTAGAGGCAACAGCCGGCTTGAGAAACAAAGGCTTGCCACTGCTACTGCTGCTGCCGCCGCCACCACCACCACCACCACCACCAGCACCAAAGGGAGACTTAGACCCTCCTCCTCCAAGCTTTAGGGAAATACTAGTAGGCGATCGAACCTCTACCTCCATTGCACCCCTCCCCGCTCCTCCCCCTCCCCCTCCGCTCTTCTCCCTCCCCACTCTCTCCCAGTCATCCCCATCCCCGTCCTCCTCGTCCCAATCCCACTGCTCTTCCGATCCCCTACTCCCACCGACACCGCCCCCCTTGCTTCCAAACCCACTCCCTGTATCCGCCTCTCCCCCAGCAACGCTCTGATAAGTGGGACCCTCCCCGTGCCTCGCCCCGCCCCTGCAGCAGCAGTAGCAGGCTATGATTCCGACAAGGGAACCCAGAATTGCCAGGGTAAATGCCCCTAGCACGAGGTAAACTGCGAAAGTTTCCGCGTTTGCGGCGCCGACAAAGGGGTAAATGGTCGTCCTGGTGGAGAGAATCAGGGGCCTTAAGAGCTGTATGAGAGCTCGCTCGATGGACAGAAGGACAGCGGCAGTGGTGCTGCTGCTGCTGCTGGAGGGAGTGGTGGTTTCGGGTGTGGTCACCTGGTTACCAGAAGAGGGCGCTTTGTCAGTTTTGCTGCTGCTATCTCTCTCCCCACCACCAGCACCACCACCATCGGCAGCACCAGCACCACCCCTATCTCCGCCAAACGTGCCCTCTCCCCCAACGTCTCCGCCCGCCCCTTCCGCCTCCCTCTCGTCCGCCCTTTCCTTTGACTGCCCCTCCGCCCATGGTTGTTCATCCACTGTCGCTGCTCCCTCCTCCTCTTCCGCGCCCCCTTCCGCACCCCCTTCCGCTCCCCCTTCCGCCCCTTCTGCGCCCCCTTCCGGGCCTCCCTCCTCACCCCCATCCACGCCCAACCCCCCAGCAGCCTCCCCACCTCTCGCCCCAGCACCCTTTCCAGGAATGCCCCCCGCGCCCTCCCCAAGCCCATCCCCTTCATCCCCCAATGCTGCATGCTCTATCGGCTCACCAACCTCCTTCTCTTCCCCCTCCGCGTCTACACCCCCTCCCCCTTTCCCCTTCCCCTTCCCCAGCCCCTGCGCCAGCCCCTCCCCCAGCCCCTCCCCTTCCGCCTCTCCCCTCGCCTCCGTGTCTCGCTCTGCTGCTGTCTTGCGCGTGCTTCCCCCCTTAGTGCCTGTCAACCCGCCTCCTGCTCCCCCTTCCTCTCCAACACCCACTTTCCCTGCACCTGCTGCTGCTGCTGCTGCTGCTGCTCCTTTCCTTGAACCACCCTTTCCCGCTGCTTCCTCTGCTTCCGCTTCTTCCGCCTCTTCCCCCACCACTCCCGCCCCCTTCCCAGTAGCCCCGCCTTTCGTCGCCCCTTCCCCAGTCACATCCCCCTTCCGCTTCTTCCCCCCAACCTCCGCCTCCGCCCCAGCTTCCTCGTCCGCTTCCTCCCCCAATTCGTCTTCTCCCCCCCTGCCGGGACCACCCACACCGCTTTTCTTCTTATTGACCGTTTTCCGCGGCGGATCTATCTCCGCTTCCGCAAGTCCCGCAGCTTCCGCCGCTTCCGCCGCGTCCTCCGCTGCTTCCGCCAACCCTGCATCGGCGGAGCCTTTTCCGCCCCTTCCGGGCGGGATATCCGCGGGGATCTCAGCGTCTTCTTCCGCCTCTTCCGCGTCCACGGGGCTCCGCGCGAGAGATCTGATTGGTCGGTGCTGACTCAGCTCCAGCTCGCGTCCAACAGTCGCGAGAGATCTGATTGGATGCGACGGCGAGGCGGGTAGATCTGATTCGTCCGGTGATTCGGGTTCTTTTTCCACTGGGGGTGACCTAGACCGTGGATCGACATCGGGATTGCCGAGAATGTCCTGAGAAACAGAGGGATTGGGGGGGAAAGAAGGGGGGTGGGGGGGGGGGAGAGGAAGAGAGGGGGGGGCGGGGTGGGGGGGGTTAGGAGAGATATTACATGGAGAGAGTGTAAGAAAACGCGACGAAGGAAGGATGTCAGCTTTGGGATTTTGGAGATCAGGAAGGTGAGACGACAGAAGAAAAAGAAGGGAACAGAGGGATGACGGACGAAGGAAGGATGTCGGCCTTGAGATTGCCGCGATCAGAAAGGGAGGGAACGGCACAAGGGGAAATGAACTGGGAAGTGAAATCGGAACGCCGAAAGCAGGTCGGCGAGATCGATGCACGACTGCATTAGTAATTTGCCGAATCAAGGAGGGAGAGGCGGGAGGAGGTGGAGCGGAATGGCAGCTATAGTGCTGCTGATCAGTGCCAAAAGTGTCGATCTAAGTAACTCTAGATTGCTCTTAAACGGCGTGATCCATACTATGCACTACTTAGAGTTGGAAATGATGCAAAATCAGTGTTTAGATAGATCGAGCGGGCTTCACGCAAGAAGGAGATGGAAGGGTAAGGCGGCTCCACCTGTGATGATCGTGAGTTCGTGGAAGCTTCATCGAGAAGATTATCCGTGAGAGTGGGGGTGGGGCGAGTGTCAGCGAGCGGCGTCAGCGTCGCGAGGACGACGAGGAACAAGGCGACGAGCGGGAGGGCGAGCCGCGACAAACGGAACGTCGCCATCCGTTCTTTGGCAGCCATTGATGCTAATTGCACAATCACTGAAAAGACATCAATTTGTTTGAAGCTCAATAAACAGTGTTATTATTTCTGATTCTCTTTTAATAGGAGCATTTGGCCGAGTGGTTAAGGCGTGTGCCTGCTAAGTACATGGGCTCTGCCCGCGAGAGTTCGAATCTCTCAGTGCTCGAGGAGTTTTGCTTCCGAAGGTCCTTCCCTTCCTTTTTGCAAGCTGTTGCGTCATTGTTTTGCTTTTGCTCAAGTGTCACGGATGACCTTTGCTCAATTGCAATGAGCCTTGCTCAATTGCAATGAGCCTTGCTCAATTGCAATGAGCCTTGCTCAATTGCAATGAGCCTTGCTCAATTGCACCCATGGTTAGCGCGATGTGTGAAAATGGAGTCCACAGTATTGCAGTAACTTTCAACTGGTTCATCAATCCTTTACAACCACACTCAGCTGAAACAACCAGTGAGCAAGATACTTTTCCAAGTCTAAAATAGAATGTATAATTCTAAACTATCCATATAAAGCAAGAACAGAGCCACACGGGCATGCGTCCTTGAAACCATTTATGATCTAGCCCCAGGATTCTCCCCTCTTCCTTCAAAGCTTTTACCCTGGTTCGACACTCTCACAGCCCTGGGTTGCTTGCTTGCCCGCCCTGCTGCACTAGCCTACAGCTGTTGTCGACCTACACGACGCTTCACACACCATAATCTTCACAACCACCACAGCAGTACATGCCATACCATGCTACTGTATGGTCTCGACTACACTGGAATGCAACACAGAATGCTATGCCATACCATGGCAGAGCACACAGCACGGCATTCTATGCCATGCATTGGAATGCAATGTCTTGATAGCACTAGGATGCATCACAGCATGCCATGCCATACACCCACCCACCCACGACAACCCAAACACCCAAACCCATCCAACCAACCCCAAGTACAGTATCCCCCTCAATCCCAACCAATAACCCATCCAAACACCCAAACCCCATCACCCCTCACCCATCTACCCAGAACCACCCATCCAGCTCACACACCTGAACCCCAACCCACCAACCCAGAACAACCCAAACAACCCACAAACCCAACCCCAACCATAACCCACCAACCCAGGGCAACCCAAACAACCCACAAACCCAACCCCCACCCTTTCTCTTCCAATCACCCACAGTAGTAAATCCAGTCTCATTCCCTTCCCTTGAACCACACAAGAAATTTCAGCCTCTTCCTCTTTCACACACCCACCCAAGGGGCTTCAGCCACCTTCACTCTCACAAAGGAATTTCGTCCCTCACTCACACCCACCTAAGGGACTTTAGCCGCCTTCCTTTCCACCTACCAGTTCCCACCTACCAACACAGGAATTTCAGCCCTCACTCACCTCCCAACCACCCCCTGTAATAGCCAACCCCAACACACCCTGTCAAAGCCACCCACCTCCAACAACCCACCCATCCCAAACACATCCCCCTGTCATAGCCAACCCAAACACATCCCCCTGTCATAGCCAACCCAAACACATCCCCCTGTCATAGCCACCCCCAACACATCCCCCTGTCATAGCCACCCCCAACACATCCCCCTGTCATAGCCACCCCCAACACATCCCCCTGTCATAGCCACCCCAAACACATCCCCCTGTCATAGCCACCCCCAACACATCCCCCTGTCATAGCCACCCCCAACACATCCCCCTGTCATAGCCACCCCCAACACATCCCCCTGTCATAGCCACCCCCAACACATCCCCCTGTCATAGCCACCCCCAACACATCCCCCTGTCATAGCCACCCCCAACACATCCCCCTGTCATAGCCACCCCCAACACATCCCCCTGTCATAGCCACCCCCAACACATCCCCCTGTCATAGCCACCCCCAACACATCCCCCTGTCATAGCCACCCCCAACACATCCCCCTGTCATAGCCACCCCCAACACATCCCCCTGTCATAGCCACCCCCAACACATCCCCCTGTCATAGCCACCCCCAACACATCCCCCTGTCATAGCCACCCCCAACACATCCCCCTGTCATAGCCACCCCAAACACATCCCCCTGTCATAGCCACCCCCAACACATCCCCCTGTCATAGCCACCCCCAACACATCCCCCTGTCATAGCCACCCCCAACACATCCCCTGTCATAGCCACCACCCCCAGTCACAGCCCATCAACAACTCATCATCCCCCAATCCCCCTGTCATAGCCACCCCCCATCCCCCTGTCATAGCCACCCCCAACACATCCCCCTGTCATAGCCACCCCCAACACATCCCCCTGTCATAGCCACCCCCAACACATCCCCTGTCATAGCCACCACCCCCAGTCACAGTCACAGCATCAACAACTCATCATCCCCCAATTAAAGCCCCCCAAGCCCCACCCGGCCAACCCCCACCCACCTTACCTCGCACCTCTCCACATTCACTCCCCTTCCCTCTGACTCACCCACCCAAGGGGGTTCACTCCCCTTCCCTCTCACTCACCCACCCAAGGCGGTTCACTCCTCTTCCCTCTCACTCACCCACCCAAGGGGGTTCACTCCCCTTCCCTCTGACTCACCCACCCAAGGGGGTTCACTCCCCTTCCCTCTCACTCACCCACCCAAGGGGGTTCACTCCCCTTCCCTCTCACTCACCCACCCAAGGGGGTTCACTCCCCTTCCCTCTGACTCACCCACCCAAGGGGGTTCACTCCCCTTCCCTCTCACTCACCCACCCAAGGGGGTTCACTCCCCTTCCCTCTCACTCACCCACCCAAGGGGGTTCACTCCCCTTCCCTCTCACTCACCCACCCAAGGGGGTTCACTCCCCTTCCCTCTCACTCACCCACCCAAGGGGGTTCACTCCCCTTCCCTCTCACTCACCCTCCCAAGGGGGTTCACTCCCCTTCCCTCTCACTCACCCACCCAAGGGGGTTCACTCCCCTTCCCTCTCAATCACCCACCCAAGGGGGTTCACTCCCCTTCCCTCTCACTCACCCACCCAAGGGGGTTCACTCCCCTTCCCTCTGACTCACCCACCCAAGGGGGTTCACTCCTCTTCCCTCTCACTCACCCACCCAAGGGGGTTCACTCCCCTTCCCTCTCACTCACCCACCCAAGGGGGTTCACTCCCCTTCCCTCTCACTCACCCACCCAAGGGGGTTCACTCCCCTTCCCTCTGACTCACCCATCCAAGGGGGTTCACTCCCCTTCCCTCTCACTCACCCTCCCAAGGGGGTTCACTCCCCTTCCCTCTCACTCACCCACCCAAGGGGGTTCACTCCCCTTCCCTCTGACTCACCCATCCAAGGGGGTTCACTCCCCTTCCCTCTCACTCACCCTCCCAAGGGGGTTCACTCCCCTTCCCTCTGACTCACCCACCCAAGGGGGTTCACTCCCCTTCCCTCTCACTCACCCTCCCAAGGGGGTTCACTCCCCTTCCCTCTCACTCACCCACCCAAGGGGGTTCACTCCCCTTCCCTCTGACTCACCCACCCAAGGGGGTTCACTCCTCTTCCCTCTCACTCACCCACCCAAGGGGTTCACCCCCCTTCCCTCTGACTCACCCACCCAAGGGGGTTCACTCCCCTTCCCTCTCACTCACCCACCCAAGGGGGTTCACTCCCCTTCCCTCTCACTCACCCTCCCAAGGGGGTTCACTCCCCTTCCCTCTGACTCACCCACCCAAGGGGGTTCACTCCCCTTCCCTCTCACTCACCCACCCAAGGGGGTTCACTCCCCTTCCCTCTGACTCACCCACCCAAGGGGGTTCACTCCCCTTCCCTCTCACTCACCCACCCAAGGGGTTTCAGGCCCCACTCACCACGCAAGGGGTTTCAACCCCCACTCACCACTCACGGGGATTCAGACCCCACTCACCACCCAAGGGGTCTCAGGCCCCTTTCTCTCTCACTCACCCCCCCAGCCCATCCCACCTTCACATACCAGCAGTAGGAGCAGCGGAAAGCCCACTTTCTTAAGGAAACAACACCCCAAGAGGCGGTGCCTTGTGGGCCGAAGTGTGGTAGTGGAAAATTGCTTCCAGCCCAAGACTCAAATTCCACCCCTGACGTAGCCAGAGCTGACGCGAACCAGAGCCGCCGGCCGGTCGGCTCTGACGGTGTCCATTAGGCCTTGCACGTCAGTTCGGTTACTTGAGCACCGAGTGCCGTGCCGCGGAGATTCCACCCACCACACCCCGACCCACAAGACACAACCCCAGGTGATGCTGCCCCTAAGGCAGTGAACTCCCCGCTTGCTCCCATGCTCCCCACCCTCCCACTTCCCCACACTTCACCCCCATGCCTCCTTACCTCTACTTACCTCTACTTACCAGAGCCATGCAGAGCGCCATAATGCCTCAGGCTGCTGGGAAGGGAGGGAGGCAGGGACCAAGGGAGAGCAGTGAGCAGGGGAGAAGAACAGGCAGAAGCATGCACGCAGGACAGGAGCAAGAAAAGAAAGCGAAGATTGGAAGAAAGGAAAGCAGCAGCGTGAGTGAAGGAAAGCAGCAGCGTGAGTGAAGGAAAGAAGCAGCGTGAGTGAAGGAAAGGAGCAGTGTGAGTGAAGGAAAGGAGCAGTGTGAGTGAAGGAAAGGAGCAGTGTGAGTGAAGGAAAGGAGCAGTGTGAGTGAAGGAAAGCAGCAGCGTGAGTGAAGGAAAGAGCAGAAACGAATGCATTTTTGGCGGGGAGGGGAAGAGAGGCTCACCTTGTTTCAGACAGCCCATCCCGATACTCTCCCATCCCATCCCAGCCAAGCGGAGTGCTGCCTCCCTCCCCTCCCACCAAGTGACCTGGCAGTGGGCAGAAGGGACAGGATAGGAGGGGCAGGAGGAACAGGTAAGTTGGCCACAACTGAGACAATAAAGCAAACTGAAACAACAAAGCAAACAGAAGAACGCCAGAGTGGACAGAAACGAAAATGCAGAATTGAAGTGAGAAAAAAGAGTCACACCTTGTTTCAGACGACCCATCCCAATACTCTCCCTCCCATCCCAGCCGAGTGGAGTGCTGCCCCC